AAACTCCTTGCAGCTCTTGCAACTCCTAGTGGTGACTCCCCACAAACTCCAATTCTGCAAGCTCTTAGGAAGCATTAATGCATTTCCATCTTCTCAGTCCTTGGGATGGGGCAGATCCAAATTCAGAAACACTCCATGCCACAGAAATAGAGGGACAATGTTTTGTTTGCAGGGGTATTCTGGAGCATGAAAGATCGGGTGAGGAGAAGGATCCTTTTAGAAACCTAATTGCAATTAATAAGCCTTGGCTGTTGCTCCCGTATTTCCACAGGAAATCACCCCAAAGGTGTGTGTTAATCACTAAGTGTCAGAAGAAAATCTGTTGTGAGATGAGGCAGAAAAATGTCATCCCTTGCCTGGAGCATGGGCAACTCTGGGTACTCGGTAAACAGATATGTTTCTCTCTTGAGTCTGACATTTTATAATGCTCAGCCTACCTTGGGTCTTCCATGGTAGGAATGCATGGTGGACATGATCAGCCCGGAAGCACGTGGGGACGGACACTGACACAGATGTTGGCACATGCCCACCGTGTCACAGCGAGCACGGCCGCGACATCCAGGGTGGCCTGCACACCATCCAGCCCCCCGTGTGGAACTCGGGGCTGGGCTCCCAAGCACAGTAGCCCGAGGGGAGCAAAGCTGGTACTAATAGCGAATAGCTGCAGAACGAAAGCAGCTTGGTCTGGCTGTGGTTTTGTCCTGCTGTAATCCATTAATTGCTGCAGCTCGAAAGAACAAAGGCAGGGATAATGGTCTAGGGAGTTACGAACCGAAGGCAAACCTGGGCTGAATCAGCAGCAGACGATCCTTTGATTTCAGAGGGAAAACTTATCATTTGCGGCACGGGAGGAATTTATCTCTCTGCTTTGCTCGCAACACGCCACATCCCCCGAGCTGCTGAGCCGGGTGCGGGCTGGACCTGCGGGCTGGAGCCATTGGGTTCCCGGACGGCCCCTCTCGGCCGCATTCTCCGGTCTCTGTGCCCCTGCCGGGCTCGGCGGCTGCTCAAGCGGGCTGCGGTGCCCTCTAGTGTCGCGGGGCGGTGGCACTGCCCGGCGGTGGTGCCCCGGTGCGGCTGCGATGCCTCCCGCCCGTCGGTGCCGCGGCGGGGCCGGGTCTCCCCGCACGGGCCCGGAGCGCAGCGCGGAGCCAGGCGGAGGCGAGGGGCCGGGGGGGGGAGCAGCCCCTTCCCCCTGGCTTTGCCTCGCCCCTAAATTGCGTTCAGCCTGCTTCTGGACCAGAGCGACGTGTTTATTCTGTCGCAGTCAAAAAAGTCAGGGCGGGAGCAAAAGGAAAAACAAAGTCTGTTTTTCAAAGAGTAAGGCTTCCACGGCTGTTCTGGCATCTTGTAATGTCGAGAGCCAAACGCAACAATGAAAGCAAAACAGCTCGACGTCGTGGCAGCAGCGGCCTCGGTGGGAAAACTACGGGCATGGGGAAGGAAAACGACGGACGCGGGGAACTACCTCAAATAGCCATGTGGCGAACAAAAATAAAGGCTAGGGAGGGCAGGCTGGGCAAAGTTAATTTCTTTTGTCTGGCTGCCTGTCCTCCCAGTGACACGGGATCCCTGCTATTCAGAGCCAAATTCTGTTGAACAAACAAAATGAGGGAATGTGTACTCGTGGAAAGATGGAAAGAAATAAAAATCTAAAAATCTGGTAGGACTGTAAATGTACACAAGACCCTGCCGCCTCCAGAACACTTTTCCAGAGGGGCTCGGGCCCTTGAGTTCCCGTGCTTAGCTCTCCTTCCAGGTGGGGCAGCCCTCACCGCTGCATTCCCTCCCTAGGCGTGGATGTGAGCACAGATGTGAGGCCGCTCTGCTTTCTCCCTCTCTCAGGGGTTAGAGGGGTCTCTGCCCCGGGCTGTAGCTGCTCCTCATGCAGGGGTTCCCGCTCTAAAAGGTAAAAAGGGTGACTACTGCTCCGTGCATCGCAGAACGTGGGTAACGATAATGAAACCCAGACAAGCCTTCCCATCCAGTCAGAAGGCTGCGGCCCCTCAGCGGGGCTCCCTCGGAGCCCTCGGGGCCGGGGCACCCCCTCTCCCGGGCCTGCCCGGTCCCGCCGGTGGCCACACAAGCCACCTATTAGCTCGTTCAATAGGCTTATCCAGTTAAGCGCTCCCCGGCTCACCCTTGGGAGAGAGCCGCAGGAAAGGATTTATTACTTGAAACAAATTGTGATTTCCCCAGGCAGGGGGATGCTGAGGGGAGGAAAGGGGGGATGTGAAGGGGCCTCGAAGGCTCCCAGCCCCCCTGGAAGGGCCTGAGAGCCGAGAGCCCGCCCCGCAATAACGCGGGCCGTCGGTGCTCCCGCTGCCCGGGGAGGGGGACACACACACACCCCGCCCGGCCCGGGGACAGGCTGGGAGCACAAACAGGCCAGAGCGGCTCTAGCCCGGGCACGGCACTCTGTTTGAGACTCGCAGCTTCCATCTGTTACCACATAAACACAGCTAACGGGATGCTGTATGCTGCAGCCCTTCAGGGGAGGGGAAGGCGGGAGGACAGGGAGAGGTAAAAAATCCCCCCACCCCCAGCCTGTCCTCTCGCTAACCCCACGTCCCCCTCGCCTCCCTGGACGGGACCCCCTGCACCACACGGGGCGGGAGGCAGAGCTCAGCAGCCGTCCTGGAGGGTTTATTTTAACTACCACCGTCTCTGCGCGGGAACAATCCATAGGCACAGCGCAGAGGGATCGGCCCAGAGCGGGCAGAGCCCAGCTCCCGCCGGCCCCGTGCTTGGGCCCATAGTGTGGGCAAGGGAAAGCTACGTCGGGGAAAGCGCCACCGCTCTCACAAGGGTCCCTGAGCCACGGAACACCTCGGTCCCTGTCTCCACACCTCGGTCCCTGTCTCCACAGAGCCGTCGGGCCCCCGCCAGAAGGGCCAGACTGGCCTAGCAGGCAGCCTCGCCAGTCGCCCAGTTCACAATTTTTATTTTTGTGAGATCCCACGTGGAAGCCGTTAACGACCTCTGGATAATGATCGTGACAAAGGCATTATTCAAATAAGGCAGATAATTGCAAGCAGAAGGCACCTCCTCCCCTTTCCTTTCGCTCCTTTCCTTTCGAAAGAGTAACTCTCGCATTACATCCCATCCTGATGGTGTTTCGCCAGGAATCACCCCGCACGTCGAACCACACACGCTCACGCCGGTACAGCGCGGCCCGAGCCCTGCAGGATGGCCCCGGCGCTCAGGGAGCTGATGCTCATCTTCGAGGGGTTTAAATTTGCGAGAGCCCGCAGCTCTGATCCGAGTAATGATAAAGCTTTTCCTTCCGCAAATTAAGGGGTTCAGGGTGCTGGGTGCGCTCGCCCTCTCAGATGGAGAGTTCCAGGGTGTGGTGTGGGGTTTTTTTCTCCTGTGTTGTTTGTTTGTTTGGTTTAGCTTTTTTTCTTTTTTTTTTTTTCTCCATGTTTTTTTTTGACTCTCTGGGAGCCTGTTGTTTATTCACAAGCATTACGGTATCCTGTTAGCATTCCGACCAGGGGCTGCTCATAGATGTGACTCCGATGATTTCCTGGAGGAACATGTGGAAGCAATAGCGGGGTTGTGCTCTCGCCCGAGCCGAGGACGCGCTAGTGGAGGGCGTGCAAAGGGCCCGGAGCCCCGAGAGCCCAGGCAGGGGCACCTCAGCCCTGAGCGCGCATCCTTGGGACGTGGTCATCTTGGGACGTTTCTGCCTCTGTTCTCTTCGGGGCATCTTCGTTTCAGAGGCTGAACTCTCCCTCGCTTAGGAAAGAGAAAAGCCACTGGGTCCTGGCTCTTGACTTCGAGAACAAACTTTTGTTTAATACTAAATGGGAGAAAAAGGTGCGGGTGGTGTGGTGCTGGGCTGGGGAAGGAAGGAAAAGGGAGAAGCCCCGGCCCAGGGGCACCTGGGGGCCCGTGCTCTGCCCAGAAGGCAGGCGGCGGGCAGGGACCCGCTCGGCTCCGTTCCTGGGGCTGCAGTGCCCCCTCTCCCGCGGCCGCCGCATCGCCGCCCCGCCGGCCGCGCTCGCCGCGCTCCGCACGAAGCCGGCAGCCAAAGGGCGGCGAGGGCAGCTCCCCGGCAGCCCCTCGGCCACCCCTTATCGCCAGCGATAGCGACTGCCAGCAAGGCAGAGATAGCCAGCGCTGCTCCCCGGCGGGGATCAAAGCTCCGTCGGGAGCTGCTCAAACGGGACGGGCTCGGACGTGCGCTGCCCGCGCCTCCGCCGCCACCTCCGGCCCCGGCCGGGTCCCCGCCTTGGTCATTACTGGGCTCTGTTCGAGCAGAGCAAAGCGAAGGCAGAGACGAAGAGAAGAGTGTTCTCGGTCCCGTCGGAACTGAGGGTTTTGGGGAGGCTGACTCCTGGCGAAGGTTACCTTTCGTTGTGTCTTTCATTCATAAATGTTAGTGATTCGTCTCTCCCCCTGTCTCTCCGCGCCTCCTGTCCCGGCTGGCTCACGGCCGTCCGTCCAGCTTTCTAGCCCGACCCCGAGCGCAGCGATGTACAAAGGACACGAGGAAGCCGCGAATTCGTTTCCAAATCAAACTCCCCATCCATAAACTCACACTGTAAGCGTGGACATCGAGCCCGGCGCCCGAGCCACCATCCTGGAGGGTCTGAGGAGGGAAGACTCATTCATGAAATTTGGGAGCACTCTGAGTTTTCATGAAAGTTTTTTGGGTCTTTTTTTTTTTTTTCCCTTTCTTTCTTTCTTTTTTTTTTTTTTTTTTTTTTTATTTTCTCCCCCTGCAGTGCAAAACTCCCCGCTCCCCCCTTTCCTCCCCCTCGCCCCTGCCATATGGCCAGCCTCCCCCTCCCCTGCGAGGCTCCTGAAATCTGGAGGCAGAGACTGGCCCCCCTGCCTGCGTAAGAGCCTCCCGCCGGCGCGCCCGCCTCCGCCCGCGGGGCTGGGGGCGCCGGGCGAGCCAGCAGCTCTTATTCTGAAGGGAACGGAGGGGGGCTTCATTTCCTGACAGCTATTTACTTAAAGCAAATGATTAGTTTTGGAAGGATGGTCTATAACATTGAATCAATTACGGGACGCGGTTTGTGAGACCAATACAGTCGGATCGGGAGAGAGGGCGAGCGAGAGGGAAAGAGCGCGGCTGAGCAGGGAAAGTCACAAAAGACGTGGACATATTTTGGATGTTTTACAATCTGCAGGATTGGGGCTGCGGGTTGTAAAGGAGAAGGTAAGAGGTGCGGGGCATTTCCCCCACCTTTTTCTCTTTTTTTGCATCTTTTCTCCCGCGTTTTTTTCCTTGTTTATTTTATTAGGTTTTTTTTATTTATTTGTTGGGGGTTTTCTTATGTTGATTTCTTTTCTTTTTTTTTTTTTTCTTTTTTTTTTCCTTTTCCCCCGATGCCCTGAGCCGAGCGGAGAGGTTCCTCTGGCGGGGCGCAGGCGGCGGGCGCTGGTGACCCCGCGGAGGGAGCGGGGGAGCAGCGCCGGCCGTCGGGGTGCGGCGGCAGCAGCGCGGGCAGCGCTAATGACAAACACATTGGGACGGCGGCGGCCACCGCGCCGCATTCCTGCCGCGGGGGCGGGAGCGACCCGCCGGGCTCCGCGGGCAGCGGCAGCGCCCGCCCCGGGGGGGAGAGCGGGGACGCGCACCGACCGAGTAAGCGGCTCCGTCTTTTCTCGCATCCCTCTCTCCCTTCACCCCGCTGCTCTCCCGTCCCTTCCCCCACCCTTTGTTTCAAACCACCTTCCCTCCTTTAGATCCCATTTCTCACCTCGCTCCCCTGACCCGGTAGCCTAAAATGCCCCGAGATCCCGGGCGGAGGCACGCACACAGCCCCCGAAAGGCGACCCGACCTCCATCACTGCGCGCCCCGTCTTTTCTTTTTATTTGAGTGTCCCGCTGAAAGGAAAGATGCTGAATTTAGACAGGGCTGGTACCTGGAGCCTTTCCAGCCTGCAGCCCCTCTCTCGACGGGAATGTCAGCCCTGCCGTATGCCCTGCCGGACTGCTGGACCCCACTGCCTCCTACCCCGTGAAGGGCAAAGTCTTCGCGGCCACCTTTTGGATTTTGTCAAGCGCAGAGTTGCAAACTTGCCAGCCTCTGCCAGGCTGGAGTCCCCTGGAAAAGTCCTAGGAGCAAGTAGGAAATGGCTTTTTGGCTGTCCGCGGCATTGCTCAACATTTTTGGACGCGGATCCCATAGCTCAGGAACCGTTCCAGAGAACAGGACTTGGACAGCTTTTTCTGGAGCCAGCAGCGGCAGATCTAGCGAGGCAGCAGCAGCAGTCCCAGGGCACAGCCGCCAGCCCCCGGGGCCCGTCCGTACCCCGTCGGGGAGGCGGGAGCGATGCCCTGGCCCCACCAGTGCCGGGGGCACGCTCCCAGCGCCCCTCGACGGCATTCCCGGCGCGTCTCTCGCCGGTGTTCGAGCTCCCTAGCGCTCCTGCGGGGCCCAAGTCTGCACGGCCGGAGAAGGCAGCGCATCGTCTCGCCCTGATGGGAACCCACGAGCCCGTTCCCGGGGCTGCGGGTGCATGGCTCCCTCTTGGTCCCACAGCTCCCGGGGACACAGCCTCTGTCCTCCGCCGGGACCCCCGCCCCTCTCCAGACCCCGCGCCCCGGGGCTCGGTGCTTCGCCCGACGGAGAGGGCTGGAGGAGAAGCGTCGGGTCGTAGCACCAGCTTCGCAGGGAAAAACGTCTGGGCTCCGCTCCTGTCCGTCTCCCCTGTCCCGCTTTTGCTTTTCCCCGACCACCCCTCATTAAGAAAAAAAAAAAAGTGGTCTCTCCAGCTTGGCAAAGGCTTTCCCATTGTTTCCCAGACAAACAGTGGAGGGGCTGGGGGCTGCCATCTCCGCTAGGTTTGCTCGGTGTCCCGGGCAGCCTTTGATGTGCAGCGGCTCCGGCCGTCGGGCAGCGCCGGGGGTGGGCGCACCGAGGGCAGCCGCGGCAGCGCCGCTGTCCCGCTCCCCGGGGGCTGTGCCCGGCTCCCTGCGGGCCCGCAGGGTCTGCCGGGCTCCTGCAGCCCGATGGGGGCCGGAGGGTGCGAACGGAACCTCCCAGCGTCATCCGCACCCCAGTCCCGGCCGGCTGCAGGCCGCTGTCCCCCCGACGGGACGCACCGAGGGAAGCGGGATGTCTTGTTGCGCTCTCGGCGTCTCCAGGGCCGGTGTAGAGCCCAGCTGGAGCCCCAGCGCGGCTGACTAAGCTCTGTGTCCTTAGATGGGACAAGACACGGGATCAAAGCAAGGAGACAGGCATCAAAGATCTCTCTGTCATCGTCTTATCAAAATCTGAGCTGTGGAGATCCGACTTTTAACTCTGTGTGTAGAAACGCTAGGAAGAGATCTCCCAGCAAGGGACTTTGGTTTTAGCTTCTAGTTAACAATGAGTGTTTTAGAACGGCCCGCAGCTAAACAGCGGTGTAGCCAACCTCAAAGCTTGGGGGGAAAAAGTTTGCAGAAAAATGAGACCTCACAAAACACTGGGATTTAGGAGTCCACGAGCGAAGCAGGTCTCTCAGCCTGCAGGCACTCTGCTGCTGCTTTTAAATGAGATCCCTTGTTGTGGTCCTGCTCTTCAGGCACTGAGGGGCAGGAGGTGTGCCAGTCCAGCTGCCGTTGGGTACTGGGGCCATCTTTGCTGTTACTAGTTTGTTGATGTATGGGAAATCTTCATGTGGCTCTGAGGGTAATACATAGGTATTAGGTTTCAAGAAAGCAGGAAGTAATAAATATTTTAATAAAATACTTCCCTACTACAGCATTGGGCTAGGATTGAAGTAAAGTATATCTAGACAGAAAGTCTTGCATAGCCCAGACCTCACAGATCATTTCCAGCTATACCCTTTGGTCTAAAGAGGAGGCTGAAATGTATAACTTTATATAATCCTTGCCTTGCTTGCTTCTTTATTTCGTCATGACTACAGTTGTACCTACTTTTGTACATGAACTCTAAAATTTTTAATAGAAGATGTTTCCTTTTTTACCTTTGAAGACATAAAGACAAAGGAATGACTTCTGAGAGGTGATTTTTCGTGGTGGTGATGAGAATTGCGGATAATTTAAAGAAAAACAAACAAGAAAGCAAATGATCCTTTCTCTCCCTTATGCCTTGCTCTCCTGCTTGACTCATCTCTTTCAAGCCTACGAAGCTTTGTGTGAGTGCCCAAGGGAAAAGTTTGCAATAGCTAGGCTTCCTAGCTCTTGTGGTCAGCTGAGATGGATATTTTTTTCCGCACAGTGCTTCTCAGCACTTGAGTTGGGATCTGAGGTGTTTTTTTATTTGATTCTGAGAACCTAAGGAAGATATATTACTTGGAAATGCTAGCTGGTTTGTTTGTTTGTTTGTTTGTTTCTTTTTCCTCCTGTTTTCTGGGACAGTCCAGAAAACCCTCCTTGGATCAAGTGGGAAAATTTAGGCTTTGCAATTCCCCCACCACCGTTAGCTCCTAGATGGAGGGACTCTGTCCTGGAGGGTTAGGCTGAAGAATTGGGACTGACTAGAAGGCTCCTTGGGAGGCAGCCTCACTGTGTCCTGCAGACCACAAAGTACTCAGCAGGAGACCAGCACTGGGCTGCCCTTGATGCATGGCTGTTCCTTGGATTTTTCTTGCTGCATAGTTTTTCTATGTACAGGCTATGTTGGATTCAAGTATTTGTAAAGGGCCATGGAGCAAGCCTTATTTTGGGAGAATATTAATGCCAGTCTTTTTCATCGAAGAGCTTTGAGCCTTTCCCCAGCAAAACCATCAGACCCACATGTTAGCGCTGCAGGGCAGCGCGGCTCTTGTGGAGAGTTGAGTTTGCACTTTGGGAACTGAGGACCAAGAAATGTTTCAGAAGGTCCTGTCTGAACATTTACATTCAGCTGGTGACATATACCACAAGAAAGAAATGTCTTTTCTTGGGCTGGCCTTAGCTCTTCCTGGAAAAGATCTGCTTTCCCAGAAGGACAGACTGCCACTCTGACAAAATCACTGCTGAAATTACCCAGCCCTCTCACAACAAGGATAATCATATCATTACGTGCCAAGATTTACAATCCAAATACTCTCCTATCACTTATGTAAATACAGAGAAAATGGGACCAGGGTTGATGTGTTGTTGGGATTTGGATTTTTTTGTTGCTTTTTTTTTGTTTGTTTGGGGTTTAGGTTGGGTTTTTTGTTTTTGGTTGTTGTTGTTGGATTTTTTGTTTTGTTGGTTTTGTTTCGTTTCGTTTCGTTTCTTTAATCACGTGAAATTCAAAATGTAGGAATTTTGAATTTTGAGTTGATCCGGAGACCCAGTTTAGGCGGCTCCGTTGGAGGCCAGCGCTGCCTTTTGCGGGCAGGGGATGTGTCTGGTTGGTGCGGACCAACATTGCCATCCTGCGGCCGCGCCTGCGAACTTCAGCGGGAAAATCAGTCCCGCATCTCGGCAGATGGGCTGCTCTCTGTCTTGAAAGGGGTCTTCGGTTGATTCGCAGCAGTACGAAAATAACATTTACCCTTGGCTCTTCTCGGTCCCCCTCCGCTCTTTCTCTGTAGGTCACATAGAGCACTCACCTAGGAATATCGTAATTTTCTAAGCGTGCATTTCCATTGAGTTTCTGAACATTGATTTTACCCTGCCTTTTGTGGCACAGTCAATGAAATCTTTCTTTATAGGAAGCCAGTGCTTGGCAGTTAGTGTTTGGAAAATTGACTCCTGGCTGATAACAGCTCTTTAGAATTAGCTTTCTAACTTGTTTTGTTGTTTGGTTTTTTTTTTTTTTTTTTTTTTTAAACCACAAAAGTGCACAAGAAAGATACCAGAATTTCAGTCAGAACCTCTCAAAATCTGTGTGAATGCAATGACTGTCCAACCCTGGGCAAACCCCTGCAAAGAGTTTGGCAAATCTGCCAGTGCATTACCTTGCTTTTACTATACACACCCACACTTCTATTTTAGCCAGCAATGTCTTAAGTATGCAAGAAAACAAGGTTTGCTCAAACTCACATTGTATAGGTTGTGCTAATACTGGGTTTCAGCTTACATAAACCTACTGGTTTTAGCAAGGCTACACCAAGTTATGGGTTGATAGGCCAGTGTTAGGAACTGAACCTGAGGTATTTATCCAGGGCTGAGATGCGGATAGCTGGGGACAAAGATAACTGATCTGCCATTAGGAAGGTAAAGGAGCTAAAAATGTAAATATAGAAACCCAGGATAGGTGTACCTGCTTGGTGTTGTGGGAATGAGTAAAATCTCATGCCTGTAAGTGTGAAATGGTGCCTGTGTTAAACCTCGAGCCCGGCATGGATGTGTGAGGGTATGCTAGTGCATTCTTAAGTCAGATGCGTGATGTGACTGAATTCAAACAGGTTTTGAATACAGCGATGTGAATCCTTTGTACATTATCCTGTCTTTCACAGCGAAGAAGTGTTGCTCTGGGTCTTGATGAGATTAACGGGTCATTGGGGAAAGATCAAAGCTCTGGGTTGCGAAAGAAGAGCCAGATGGAGAAAGCAAATTTAGTTAAGTCCTTGTGTTTTTAAACTGCAACGCTACACTGAGACACTCATTGATTTCAGTGTCAGCCTAGCCAAGACAGCAAGTTCAAAGCAGCACTTTGGAAATGCCATCACCTGCATGTCCATCGTTGGGCTTCAGTCCTCACTTACACACACAGCTCTGCAACAAGTCCCCTTCAGCACAGCTTCTGGTGTGCAAGAGATGAACTGGCTTTGTTTTTTCTCCTCCTCTGCTGCATCACTTGCACTGAATAGTCTGGCAAAACAACACAGGAGGGGGAGAGAGTTGTCTTTTCAGTCAGAAAAGGGAGGGAACTTGGCAGAAGTGGGGTAATATTGTCTTGTGGATGTTGGGAGATCAGGAGTCAGATCAATAAAGTAGACCATGGTAAGCCTTTAAAGAGCTACAGAAGGATGCTTTTCTAGAAAAAAATGCAGGGTATAAATGTGATTAAAATGAGTAAAGAGGCTGAAAGTGAGGGAACTATTTGATATGCAAGAGTCTGTTATTGATGGGAGACAGACACATAAACACATGGCAATTATTGCTAATTGAAGAAGCAGGCAAGATGCCTTGTCTCTGCTGGAGCTTTGTTAGCTAGATTTCTGATGGTGTTTGTACACGTTTTTGAGGCAGGTAGTCTTCTAATCCTTCTCTTGAGACCTTTATGTTTGACTATAAAGTTCTTTTGGTCTGCAAAGGGCTGCTGTCTGCTCCACCCATTGCAGGAGAAAAGCAGGACTAGATCAGAAACACTCCTTGGCATGCTGTAAGCATTTAGTTCCCATATGGCACTGCCACAGATGTAATAAGTAGATGCACCTACGTGTTTTCATATCTCAGCATCAGGAACTGAATACCAGAGGATGAATAGAAACTCTCCAGAACCTTTGTAAAAAGTCCCTGTCTTGGCACATCATCCTTTGTTTTACTCCTTGGTCAGTGTTTCAAATTAGGGGCTCTTCTGTGCAGTGTTTATTTAATCTCTTTTGGATTTGGGCCAAATCCTGTTGCTGTTAAGAGTCACCAACAAAGCATCTGTTGGTTTCAATGGGAGCAGGGATTGCAGGGTCATCTCCTTTAGAAATTACCTAGCATGCTGCTAGAGGGTTTCATGTAGAAATGTCATTACAAGGCACAAAAATTACATAGATGCTGATTGCTATTGTTGCCTCTATAAGACAGATACTTTAGGATTATATGTTTGAAAGCTGAAATAATTGCATGTGATCTATGACTCTCTGCACTGTTGGGGAGAATAGATGCTCTTTGAATGGCACTGCTGGCCTAGAGTCTGTAATGGATTTATTTCATTAGAAAATTTCAGCATGTGTTTTAAATAGTGTGTCTCTTAACCAAGGGAATTCCTGCTAAATAAGCAATAAGCACTATTGTATTACATTGTATTCTGTAAGCTATATATACACACATGTACAATGGCAAAACAAAAATATCACTCAGGGTTGTACTATTTGTAATAAGAGTGGCTTTAAAAATGTACTTTTTTTCCCATAATACTGCTTGCAGCTGAAAGGCCAGAACTTACTGCATGAATATGTTACATCTTCATTGATGCTTGTGAGGGTGCTGCCCCTGTGCAGGGGCATTTCTGTGGGCTCAGTCCCAGAGGCTACAGTGGGAGCAGAGCTGCCTGCAGGCTGTTGGAGAGGGGATGCACCAGGACTTGGCACCCTACACCAGGACTTGGCACCTCACACCAGGACTTGGTTCCTTACACTGCCAGTGTGCAGAAGGGGTCGTGGTGTCTCATCTGGCTGTGATCAGTCTGTGGCCACACGCACCTGGTGGCAGTAGTTGGCATGTGAATTGGGCTGTGAATTGGGGTCCCTGGGCCACTCCTCTTGGTGGCACTGTGTGTAATGATGGGAAGCTGCACTTGGGCGCTGCAGAAGAGGGGTCCTGCTAAGCCTTATGCACTTGTCAGTCCATTAATTGTCTCACTCCTGCCTTCTCCTTTCTGTTTCAGCTGTTGGCAGCTATGGGTACTTACCCACAGGCGTTCCTGCTCCTGGGATGTTTTCTCACAGGTAATGTTCCTCAATCCTCTAAGCTTCCCTATCCCAGTTCTTCTTAAGCTCACTTTCATTCTGCCCACAATAACAAGTGCCACATGCTTGCCAGCTGGTTTTTCTGCTTTTCCCCCCCGGCAGGCTATGACAAGCCCTACTGAGAAGGCAGTACTTTCACGGGCCCCTATCGGCCGCTCTGTCTCTCCTGAGCTGCCACAGCCTCCCACCGAGCAGGAGTGTGTGGGCACAGTGCTCTGCCCACCTGCGGCCGTGCCCGGGGATCCCGGCCGGGCTGCCTCTGCCTGGGTGGGCTCCCTGCATCCTCCCCGCCCAGCATCCCGGCTTTGCTGCGCCATGGGCATGGCAGGGCAGGGCTGGCTGGGCCACAGTGTGCCAAATATAGAAAGGGCCCCTAGAGCAAGGTAACTCTGGGCAGGAGTGGAAAATTATTTCAAAGAGTCTGGATTCCTGGTGCGGGTTTATTGCAGAGAGTGCCAACTTCACTCAGTGAGCCTAGGTGCTTGTTTATTGTACAGGTCATTTGGTAGACTGGAACCACAAACATATTTCCTTGGTGAGTTCCTCATTTTGAAGGGTTTGGATCCTCTAATTTTCCTTCTGAGAACTGGACTTGCACCAACCCACCTGCAAATTACCTAGACTCGCAAATCTGAGCCTGTAACTGGAGGTTTCATCTGAAAACCAGTTCCATCTACAACATCTAGTTCAGTGAATTGCAGTTTTATTTGGCTACAAGCCCTCTGTACATTTTGGCTAGAGGTAGACCTGACGTACAAGCTCCTGCTCCAGCCCTTTGCAGAAACCGAAGTCAGATGTAAAATGTAGGTTTTAGTCTTGGGAAGTGGTTTCCAAATTTCAGCTGTGAGCTTGCTTGAAAGCTGACAGGACTGCTGGTTTTGTGACCAGGGCTGTAAGAGGGTGTGAAGTGCCTGTGACCCAGCAGCCAGGGTGTGGAATTCACTGGTCTGCAGTAGAGCTGTGTACAGTTTAGGGCTGGCAAGCTGCGGTGAGGATTGGGAGCTATCTCTAACTTCACCTCTGTCTGTCTTTCACCTCTTGATTTGACAAACAGAAGCCAGCAACCAAACACTTAACATTTCAAAGGAAAGCCATTTGCTATTCCTCGGGCAAAGCTTTGGCTTTTAACAAGGGCAAATTTCCTGGGACATCAGCAGGTCTGAAGCAGTCAGAAAAAAAACCTGCTCTGACCCTCTCCCCTTCCTTTCACATCCCTGTACTGAAGCTGTTTTGTGTATTGACGTGCTGTTTATTTGTGTCTTTTTGCAGGACCATTCCTAACATTTTGCCAACTTCCTCTGCCAACTATTGTTCCCAAAAGGAATGAAATGGTGGTACAGCTCTATTCCAATTTCACACTCAAATGCTCTGGGGACAGCGAAGTGAGCTGGCAGTACCCAGTGACCGAGGGGAACCCCAGGATAGACATCAGACACGAAGAGAACAACAGCAACCTCCTCGTGACAGTGCTCGAAGTGGGGAACGCCTCGGCCGCCCACACGGGCCTGTATGTCTGCTACTACAACCACACACAGGTGGAGGACGGCGAGGTGGAAGGCAAGGACATCTACATCTATGTGCCTGGTGAGTGGGGATGCCACAGCTGTGCAGGGGTCTTGGGGTGGGAGAGGTGAGCCAGGGATGTTCAGAAGAGGTGTAAATTGCTGGTGGCAATTTGCTGTCCGAGGAAGAGAAATAACCCCAGGGTTAAATCATGTGTAAACCAAGGCCGGCCCCTGTAAATCTATGGATATGTTCCTCTTTCTTTCTATTGGTTTTCACTTTTTGATGAGAGTTTGGGCTCTCAAGAAGAGTGATGAACTCAGAACTTTAGAGCTGAGGTCTTCTGACCACCAGGGGGCTGGAAGGCAGACCTTGGTGGCCAGCTCAGCTCATCTGTGGGAGCATGTCCAGCCTTCAGGTTTGCCTGGCTCCCAGGTAAGGATTAACAGAAATTCCAGGCTTTTCAGGGGACACTTGGGTGGCTATCTTGGGATGTGTACTGACAAAACCAATGTATGTACTGACCAAACCATGCTAAAGATGCTGCCAGATGAGTAAGGCCATATCCTTTTCTTAACCTGAATTAGGCCTTGACTGAGAGCTGGGAAAAGCTCATGTGTGGACAGGGCCTGGGAAGTGTAAAGCATTGGAGATGTCCTAGAGGTGACTGTCAGAGGGAGGGGAAAGAAGTGTTCTTGCTGGCCAGTCTGACACAAGATTAAACAGATGGTGCTACCGTGCAGTGCCCTGTAATTTTCAAGGCAAACACAGCCTTCCCAGGCCCTACGCTGCATTTCTCTTTAGTGGTGGAAAACTGTTGGACTCAGAAGAAATGGCATCCCTTCTTTTTGGAAGTGCCTATTTCCAGCTTTGCCCTCCCACCCCCTTGTTCTGACTGGAAATCAGCCTAAAGGCTTTCCACAATCTCTCTGGGATGAGAATCTTTATTGTCATAGCTGAGATAGGCACCAGAGGCTGAGCCACGACTGACTGCTCCTGTAAAGCCCTGTCTGGATGTTTCCTCAGCACTGGCAGGGCTTCAGGGGGTGAGGGTCACAACTGCAGGGCCAGAAGAGATCTAGCCACTGGATTTGCAGCAAACATATTGAATAGGGAGCAAAAGAGTGGAGAAGAGATTGCAAATCATTCTGCAAAACTGCAGCGTGTTCTGAAGGAGTGATGCCTGCAATGGCAAGGAAGATTCTGGAAGGCCAAAAAGCCAGGAGGCAATAACAGGACTTGTTTTAAGGGTTATTTTGCAGCGGCATTAAGTTTTTGCTGTCGACAGTGAGAGATTCAAGGACAGTGATTTTTCCAAGACTTTCCATTTGCCACAACAAATGTAAAGTGTTTGCCTTCGTTCTTGAAGCAAGATGTTTCAGCAGCGGAGTATACTGCCAACTTTGGCACATATATCTCAATATCCAAGCAGCTCTAACCAAATTGCCAGAAGATGTTGTTTATGTTAAGCAGTCATGCAACTCACCCAGTGGAGGAATATAAAGGCAGGAGCTGGAAGCAGGAGCTTTTTGGTTTGGTTTTCGAAAGCCTCTAGACATCAGCCTACCAGATTCACAGGGAGAGACACCCTGTAATTTTTTCCACTTGCTAACCATCAAGATGTCATAAAGGCAGAAACATATCCTTTTCTCCAAATTACAGAGAATGTCTCTGTTTCCACTATAAACTTTGTTGTTACAATTGTTTTTCCTGCAATGAATTAGGAGGGCAATGGGTGGCAGCAACCCACTTTAGCCAGGGAGGATTACGTTGAGACTTCATACAATATCCTATTTTCACTAACAGCACATAGAAAACCAAACTAGGTGAATCTTTTTTCTGTTTTAAATTACAGTGGGAAAATGAATACATGGAGTTGGCAGCATTTTTGGGATGGAGTGCTGTGTTTGGAATATTGCTACAAAGAGCCTGCCAGTGCAGCAGAAAGTCTATTGTTGGAGGGATTTGGATTGCTATTTATTAAATTTTATTATAAAGCTTTGCACAGAAGCTTCAGGCTAGCAGGGATTATTTGTTTATTCTGAATGGCCAAATGGAGACTATTTGAGGGCTATGCTTTTTATGCATAATATTATGCAATTATGTTTTAAACTCAGACTTTGGATTGGCTGGGTAGCAAAGTTGGCATGTGTTTTGTTTACTTTAAAAGAAATAAAACTACTAGGTTCTTGTTTGCTTTTTTTCCTACTTGAATACTGTATTTTGAAAACCACATGCTGTGACCATAATTAACTATGTCTCATAACTGTAATGTTGGACATGTTAGAAATACATGAAGATAAGTACCTTGAACTATTTTTGATGAAATGTGGCTTTAGTGGTGTTCAAGATAAACAACATGAGACTGACATCAACTTGTTTTTTTTTACTTGGAAAGTGGAATTTTTATTTTATTTTATTTTTATTTTACCCCCTGCTTATATACTGGTTAGCAGACAGCTACTAATAAAAAAAGGTGAAAAAAATCTAACTTAAAGTCATGTGAGTTGTGGATAGTAACACTTAACATTTTGGGGAGGGGATCTTTTGCCTTTTTCGTTTTGCATCCTGAATTGTCACAAAGGAACCTAAGCCCTTTCCTTTTTTGTCCTTAGGAGAAAGGTTTCATTACACATCACATCAAGTAGCTAAAATGAGATACCACATGAAATTAGCAAACCGTACCTGCAATATCTGAAACAGAGGGAGAATGAACTGTGCAAGTTTCACTTATAAGTGGTCATTGATATGCAATGCTTGTACATGGACTTGCTGCAAACAAGACAGTGTAAGATTGCCTCTTGTTTTTTTACAGACCCAGACATGCCTTTTGTTCCTTCTATACCAGAAGACCAGTTCATCCTGGTAGAAGAAGGTGATCCCGCAGTTATCCCTTGTCGGACAAGCGACCCAGAGGCCCAAGTGACTTTAGTTAACAGCTTAGACAAGCCTGTGCATGCTTTATATGACACCAAACAAGGCTTCATAGGGAATTTTCCTGCGGGCTCATACACGTGCAAAACAATGGTTAAAGGCGTGGAGTTCAAGTCTGATGAGTTCCTCATCTATATCATAAGAGGTATTTCTTTCTATTCATTTTTTAAAAAATAAAAAGTGCTTCTGTTCTTTCTTCACACTGTAAGAGCACCAGCATCATAGGGTTATATAGGATATTTCTGCAATGATGAGCTCCTTGCTCCTCTGACAGTACTGCCACTTAATTGCAAGTTTACTTACAATTTTGATGAGAATAACATGTCTTTATCTTCTCCCCAAAATTATTGCAAGAAAAATGTTTTGTAGTCCATATATTTTCAATCTATTTGCTGAAACACAACTTAAAAGGCTGGTGTTTACCAGTGGCTTTGAACTGTAGAACTCTGGGTAGCCTGAAAAACATATTGATTTAATTATTTTGAAAACCTTTTTCCTGGTCATCAAGGAACTCTCAAAGACAGTCACTGATTAGCAAAATGGGACATTGTTTTTATTCCCAATGCCTTTTTACAGGGGGATTTGAGATAGGAACCTCTAATTGAAATTTTATTTGTGGAACATTTCTTTGTGGGATTGAACTGCAGTTCATGCTTTAAATACAAATTGTTTATATCAGTATAGTTCAGCAGTACTTTTAATGAATTTTCAAGGTGATTCCTCAGTAGAGGAATTGAAAGAGAAATCTTCCTCTGAAACTGCACCATGTGAAAATTGTAATGTTTTAAAAATTAAATGAGATCTCTCTCTCTCTTCTCTTAGCTACTTCACAGCTGCCTGTTGAAATTGAAGCTCTTAAAACTGTCTACAAAACAGGCGAGACCATCGTAGTAACTTGTGTGGTCTTTGACAATGAGGTGGTTAATTTACAGTGGAATTACCCTGGGAAAGTGGTAAATATCTCTCTTTCTTTCTTTCTTTTTTTTTTTTTCCCCACAACATTTGTAGTTATTTATTTGGCAAGCAAGTGAGGTTGTAAAATATTCTTCTCTTATCTGAATGAGGGCTGCTGAGGAGAGAAAACCAAGTAAAGTCTTTTAATTTTAGGTTACCATATAAGAAAGTCAGTCCCAAAAGGTAAATTTGCTGTTAGTAACTAAGCAAAGCATGAGAAGAAGGTGAGGTATGGGTGAGGAAGTAATGCTGTCTCTCAGGTCTTGTGCTGCTGCCAAAAAAAGAAATCTTGTGAAAATCGAAAGATCTAGGTATGTTGGGCGTCTGAGTAGAGTACAGCTGCTGAAGGTCTGAGCCTCTAAAACAGCTCTCTTAAATCCTGGTTCTTGGGGATAATAAAGGACAATGAAGAATCAAGTCTATAATCTTAAGTGCTCTTCATTATGCAGATGTAAACTGAAATAATTCTTACAGTCACTGAATTTACTAATGAGAAACATCTAGTAAGAAAATCTTGTAGAACCCTGAATTTTTTTTCAACTGGTTTAACATCCTTTTGCAGTGAAAACTTTTATTCAGTGGAACTTGGCTAGGGCCAGTCCCAGGCAATTTCAGAGTGTCCAATGTAAAAAGTCTGGTTGCTGAAGGAATGATGTAATTGAAGTGTACCTAGTTGTTACTCCAAATCCAACTTTTTATTTAAGTAAGTTAAGAATCCAAGAGGAAAAATTATTTGAGCAAGTTTTGTCTTGTTTTCCATCTTACACATGAGTATAGTCTCTGCTATATGCCACCTTTCAAAACTAGCCCCAGCATATTTTTGTACCAGCCCCTCATGATAACATGTTGTGTCATTTTCACCATCCCTCTACTCTCAGGAGTTTTCTCCTTGTCCATAAATTATTCTTGTTTTGAGAGTAGGCAGCACATAGCATCTATTAACTGGTTACTGTTTGTCTGATGAAGGGGATGAAAATTGATCTTACTTCATGGATATTGAACAAAAAGGACTCAAGGGGCTTTTGCATCTGAGGAAAAGGTAGTGCATAAAGAGTAAATTTCTCTGTCAAGTTGCTTACCCAAATTTTCAAAGGTATTTTGGTTTTTGTGTTTTTTCAAAACACAAAAGGGTGTATTTTCACAGGCACAGTTTTTCTGTTGTGGCTGAAAGAGGCATCCTTGTCTGAGCAAACAAGTCTTTTGCCATACAGAATTTAGATGTTTGCTCTCACTTCAGGGATATCAAAGATCCTTGGTGATGTGCTTTCAACTCAGTTACTTAAGCAAGGATTTTTTTCCTTCTCCAAACTACAGAAAGAAAAAGGTCTGATAAAGCTTGATGATATCAAAGTGCCATCACAGAAGCTGGTTTACACCTTGACCATTCCTGAGGCATCGGTGAAAGACACAGGGGATTATGAATGTACTGCTCGGCATGCAACCAAGGAGGTTAAGGAAAATAAGAAAGTAGCCATTACAGTTCATGGTATGGTCTGATTTCAGTGTCTAAAATTATCAACACATTGGAAAACATCATTCTTGGAAAATGTTGCATAGTGTTGTTTACACAAGGTTTTTTCATTTGCAGACAAAGGCTTTGTTCACCTGGAGCCTCAGTTCAGCCCTCTGGAAGCTGTCAACCTGCATGAAGTCAAAAACTTTGTTGTTGATGTGCAGGCTTACCCAGCACCAAAAATGTACTGGTTGAAGGATAATGTGACTCTGATTGAAAATCTTACAGAGATTGTTACTACTTCAGGAAGAGTCCAGGAAACAAGGTGAAAAACCTTCTGACCCTTACCTTGCCATGCTGACTTGAGTTCCTCCCCCAGAAAACTGGGCACTACTCCTGCTCACTTTTTACACCTCAGTTTGTTGCTTCTTCCTCAGTGGCATTTAAAAATAGTTTAGTTGTTTTCTGTTCAAAAGGGCAATGCCTAATTTACTACTTCTTACTACCTTCATAACATCAACCTCTTCAAGGTTCTTGAGCAAGAATCTTCTTCACTCCCTTTAACATGTCCCACACTAATAATTTCTGGCTGTTTCCAGTAAAATCAGGGCTTTGTCAGGTCCTTGCAGAAAGTAACTAAGGCCACTTCTTTCTCAGTTGTTAGTTGTTGATAGTTATTTACCACTTGAGTAATGACTTAGTTAAAGGCATTCTAGAAATGCTAAATGTCACTGTTATAATTGCAACATACCCAGATTACATGTTGCCCTAAAATGATTTTTTTATGCCTGCTTAAAAAATACAAACAAAAACTTGCATTTCTGCAGGTTTCAGAGTGTTTTAAAATTGATACGGGCCAAGGAGGAAGACAGTGGATACTATACTTTGGTTGCTGAAAATGAAGATGAGATTAAAAGATACACCTTCTCATTGCTGATACAAGGTAAGCAGCCCCAAAGCCTTGCCCACCAGAACTCCTGGGACACAGCAAAGACTTGATCCACTGGCACACCGCATTGCCTGGAGTATGGAGCCATGAAAGGCACGAACCAGGCTGAGCAGAGGAGTGCGTGTTAGTCTCTGGAGCTCCTCTAGCCTGATCCTGGCTTTCACTTCTGCCCTGGCCTTGAGCCAGAAAGAAACTTTATCCACCCAGCTAAGTAATTCCAGCTGACAGTAGGATGATAGCTCATTTAACATGACATGAAGATGTGGCACAACTGCAGCACTTCCTTCTCCTTGCTCTACCCTAGAATCCACTCTGTGCTACAGGAGATAAGCACCTCCTGCTTGAGTCTGTGTCTGTGGCTCTTGCTAAGGTGTTGGCCAAAGGACACCTGTCCTGCTTTGAAATTTGAAGCTGCTTTTTTGTAATCACTGACAAATATTTTAACAAACTCCCGACTCCTTCCCAGTTCCAGCTCTGATCTCAGCCCTCGTGGATGATCACCATGGCTCTGCAGGTGGGCAGACTGTGAGATGCTTGGCAGAGGGGACCCCGCTTCCCGGTGTGGAATGGCTGGTTTGCAAGGACATTAAAAAGTAAGAGGAGTGGGTGTGTTCTTACCTGAAATATGACCTATATCCTCAATTATATTAACATAATTAGTTACTGTACCATGTTTTCCTCATCAAGAGCCAGTAAGTTTCAGATAATTCTTATTTATTTTTAGAGGCATGTGTTTTGTATTTCAAGAGATGTTGTCAGTGCCCTTCTTTTTACATCCTATAGGACACAAAACAATGCACCAGTTCAGCTTTCTCTCATAAAAGCCTTCTGTTCAGTAAGCCGACTCCAAGGATTTCACAGTCCAGATTTGACTAGGGATTTTGAAAAGTAGCTGTCTCTCCATTTAGGGAGTATTTTTATTTTGAAGGAAGAAAGGTGCAGGTTTTTCAGAGATGCAATCTAAAGACCCTTCTGGTCCTTAAATGTATTGTTGTCAGAAGAAATTTGCAGGGAAAGGTAATTCTTGTTCTGTTCACTCTTATTCATCCATACACACACCCAACGCCCATTTCCTCCATTATTCTTCTCTGCAGGTGCAACAATGACACCTCATGGACCCTTTTGACTAACAATATCTCTGATATACACATGGAAGCCCACCTGGATGAGAAAAATATGGTGGAAAGCCAGGTTACCTTCCAGAAGGTGGAGGAAACCCTGGCTGTGCGCTGTGTGGCAAGGAATGGCCTCGGTGTCGTTACTCGAGAGCTGAAGCTTGTGGCTCCCAGTGAGTTTGCTTTGTCCTTCTGTGCAATTACAACAGCTAGTTTGGCCCTGCTCTAACTCCCCCCAGTTCAGTCCTAATGGATAACAATATGAATTGTTGTAGATAATACATTGAAGTTGATTTTTTTTACCCCAGTATTTCTGAAGATGATGCCTTTTACAGGTCTTTATGGTGCATCTACTTTTTGCTTCTTATGTGGTTCCATAATTCATTTTATCATTTTATTAGTACGGGCTATGGGACATTCTTCTAGATAATCTGCATTTGGTTTTGGAACACAATGGCAGAGCAGCTCTGGGCTCAGAAAGACTTTATAGTCACCAGCTTCAGGAACTGCTCCTGCCACTTCTGCAGGACACAGGAACTGCACCGATAGGGGAGGTGGGTGTCTTATGTGTGTGATGTCCCTCATGGCTCATAAAGAAAATGTGGTCTATCTTTTTACTCCACAGCCTTGAGATCAGAGCTAACTGTGGCTGCTGCTGTCTTAGTGCTGTTGGTGATTGTGATAATTTCACTGATTGTCCTGGTCATCATATGGAAACAGGTATGTAGAGAAGTATTTCAATTTGGGTGCTGAGCCCTGCTGGGTTTTGATCTGCACTAAAGTCAGGTCCAGGACTAATGCTTGGTGTTGCATTCAATGTGCTCTGCAGAAGCCCAGGTATGAGATCAGATGGAGAGTCATTGAGTCCATCAGCCCTGATGGCCACGAGTACATTTATGTGGACCCAATGCAACTGCCTTATGACTCCAGATGGGAGTTTCCTCGAGATGGGTTAGTGCTTGGTAAGTTTTCTGTGAGGGGCTGGCCCCACCCTTCTTTGGGGAGAAAGACGTTCAGTGACCATTCTGAGGTGTCTGCAGGATTTGCAATGGAAGTTATGGCCACCAAGTCCAGAGTCTCTGTCTGCCTGTTCTCATCAGTTCTCCTTCCTGATCCTCTTCTACAGTGGCATCAGCCCTGAGGTCCCTGTGTTAGTGTCTCCTGTGCCTGCGTTCCTGTTCTCTTCCTGTGTGCAGCATCCACCCCTACGTGGCTTAGGGGAGTCTCTCAGTGTTAAACACCCTTTTTAACCCTCATTTCTGCTAAGGCATCCACAAGAAGGACATAATTATTTTTTGTTTGCAAGACATTTATATACTGTGCAGAGGCCAAGAAAATCTGCAACTAGTTATGTAGTTTTATTAAAAATATTTTAAAAATTATTAATCCATGCCATGCACATATCAGTGCTGAGTAACTGCATATTTTTGTGGCTACTGTCCTTCTTTCTTCTTCCTTCCCCTTCTACTTTCTTGCTTTGCTATTCCTCATTGGAATTCATGCACAATTCAGTTGTAATTATTTCCTCAAGGCTGGCCCAGCCTCTCATTTATATCAATGGAAAGTGTAATGACTATAGAAAATTTTCATGCTTTATCAAGATAGTGCTTTAAACATACAAGGCTTCCCTCTCTTGGAGATATCTGTGAACCAAATTGTATTGCAAAACACAGGAGAAGTTGAAATGTGTCTTTTTTTAAATATATTTCAAGAAACATACTCCTCTGGTATATTTCTTCATCATCACAGAGAAGGAGTTAATTCTTGAAAGAAGCAAGAGAAAAATTTCCAGTTCAGGAACAATATCCTTTAATTAAATTCATGTTGCTAATTGAAGACTAGAGGAGGGTGAATGTTTTATGGAATTATTTTATTACAACCCAGACTTTAATTATATGCCTAAATAGGATTTGTCAGATCTGAGTTGTTAAAGACCACCACTGTGACTTTGTCTCCCTCTGACTCATGAGCACAGGCTGCTTCAAAGCCTTCTTGTTTACAAGTGTATTCAGAGTAGTCAGTAACTTTCAAACCCAGTGCTCCATATCCTCCTGTCAATCTGGGTTGCACAACTGCTTGACACACTCACCTGCTGGCACTTTTGAGGTATTAAATGCTTGCTGATGAGGGGGGACCCTCTTTTGTTTCTGGGGCTGACAATTCTGATTTGTATGGATTTTCTCTTATCTAACTGGGAGATGACAGCAAAGCAATTACACCTTTAGTTGAGGGAGGCTCTGAAGCAGGTCACAAACCCATTTTGGCTCTGCCAAGATGAGTATTTCCCATTCTAGCTGTGTAAACCAGCTGGCATTTATTTGTTTTTTCTAGCCAGTAGTGCCTGGAGTGCAGTGCTGTGTTAAAGGCCAACTCTGAACATTGGCTGGATGGAGCTTCAATTGATAAATTTGGGTTACACTGCAAATTTCCCTTTGCAATCTCTGATCCACAGTGTATGCAGTGCACTGCTCTTTAAAGGGCTCCTGAACCAGTGCAAGTCCAGGAGATGTGTACCAGAAGGAACAATGCAGTAATGCCATGAGCAGTTTGAACACCACGGCCTTCTCCTGGCTCTGCTGAGAACTGGTGAGGTCCCAGCAGGAGCTGGACCTCCTCATCTGGCTGACAGAGCTGAGAGCAGCTCCTCTTGAGGCATGGGGTCAGAGTGCTGCTGCTCAGGATACCAGGGTGGCTGTACAGATACAGCAGAATTGCTCTCATCACTTCCCAGCAAGACACTTATTTGTCCTGGTGACCTTAATTAAATGAAATGCTGGTCTGACACAGAATCTGACCCTTGCCTATTTGAAAAAGGCAAGTTAAGATTCAGGTCACACAACAGTCAGAGATGTGGTATCTAATTTAATGAGTCTAGAAACTGGGTGTAGATTATGAAGCTTGACACTTGTTTGGCTTTTAATATAGCCCAAGAGACTTATGGTTTCATTTCGGGTGGGTTGATTATCCCAGGCCAATTTTAGAAAAAGAAGCATCCAGCTGAGATGGCTGCATCTGGAACAGATTCACACACCCCACCCTTGTATCCTCTGAGCAGAAAAGCAGCACCTCTCTGGCAGGCACAGCAGATAAGCTCTGTGGATGGGTACAGAGGCTGAATTAGCTGCTGTTCCTCCACTAGTTTGAGGAATCTTGAGCTGCTGCTGTGTCTGCGCCGTCCCTCTGTGGTGGTGAAGCAGCATTGCTCCTCCAGTGAGCAGATCACAGCAGTGCCTTTATGCTGAAGAGTAAACTCTCACTGTAATTTTGAGCCTCAACGAAGCACTCACCAAGAATATGATGGCATTACAGATGCTTCCAGTTCTTGGGCAGTTAACTCCCACCTGGCTCCCAATTTCAAGTGCAAAAGACGTGGGGCTTGGGCTACATCTGCAGAGAGGGCTGGAAAGGGGAAATAGCAGTGGTGGCTCCCTGCCATTCGGGAAGTGCTCTCACTGCCTCCACATGCACCCCAGCCCAGCAGAGGTGATGGAGAGGGAGATGTGTGCCTCGTGCTCAGCTGACAATATGGTTTTGGGGAGGAATCGGCTTGTGAAGACAAGAAGATCAAGGAGCATCAGCAGATACCATCACATTCTGAAGGGCTGCATCCTGCCATATGGCTCCCAGACCTTCAGCCTGAAAAGTTTCAGGGGCCAAATTTCAAACTCAGGTTGTTTGAATTAGTCTAAAATTTAGTGTGAAGCTTTCTCACATCCTGATTGGGAAGGATAACCTTTGGAGCACGAGAATCTTGAAAAGAAATCACATAGCTTCTGTGTGCATGACAAACTATGCTGTCATAATCTTGGAGAGGTTCACCAGTGTTAACTCAGCTAAGCATTCTTTAACCATTTCTTGTGCTTTTTAATAATGTAGATATTGTTTGGTTGGAAATTTTCTTTTGAAAGCGTGTGCACAATAAAAGTGGGGGCAGTAGCTGGAGGATAACAGAAACATATGGCATTGCATGCCAGATAACACCTTCAGAAGTGTAAAAGGTGACAAGTTCAAACCGCAAACGAACGTCAAAGACAAAATGCTGTGTATCTCCATAGTAAAAGTTACTACTCATTCTTTCTGTGCTTCAAGTTAAAAACTAACATAAAACCAAAGTGACAGCTTGTCAGGCATGTGATTATATTCGGGCATCTGGACCTCATACACAGGTTCGTTCACTAAGTGTTCCCTTGATGAACTTGGTTTTCAGTGCAGGAGCTATGAAATACAGCATTTTGGAGAATGTTCGTGCAGTTTCTATTTCTCTAAAATCTCAATCTGTACAAAATTATTCTGGAGACTGTATCCATATTCGAAGACAGGATATATTAATCCCAAAATTTTGTCTAAATTGATTTGTGGCAAGAGTAAAGGGTCTATAAACATTAACTGTTTCATTACAGCACTTGGAAATTTGCAATACAATTTATTCCAGCAGATGAAACACACTTGTACATTAGACTTCAGAGAAATTTTCCCTCATATGTGATCAACATGTATTTCAGCTTCTTGCAGATCTGAAATGATGCTGCCTGTCTGAATGGGCGGTTGATGTGCTTTAGTCCATTTTACTGCTGGATGTATCCAGCATTATATAAAAGACCAAAACTTCAGCTGAGGGACCCAATTAAGATTTGTAAGTCAGGAACATGCCTGTATTTTAATCAGGTGTTGACTGAGGCAAAGAGGTCAGCTTAAGCCTAGGACAATCCATGTTGTAAGAGGATAAAGTGAAGATGGCAGAGCACAGGAAGGGATGAATTTGAATGAGCTGAGCTTTGAATGAGGTGCAGGTGTGCTCTTGATGTTTGCTGGCATCTTATTAAGAATTGTACTTAATGATAGCACTTCATATCTGCTTTTTCTGCTTGAAAACAACAATAATAGCAATAATACTGGTGGTCTGGCTAAGGGAATGTGCCCTTTCCACACAAGAATCAACTTGTAGAGGAATGGAGATAGGAAAGGAGCTGAATTGCTGTTACTTTCTGAAATGAACAATGCTCTCCCTTGTTCAGGTCGGATCCTTGGTTCGGGTGCCTTTGGAAAAGTGGTTGAAGGGACTGCATATGGATTGAGTCGCTCCCAACCGGTGATGAAAGTAGCTGTGAAAATGCTGAAACGTAAGTTGTCATGGTTCCATTTCCCAAGCCAGGCAGGGCAGGTTCCCAGAGGGTTATTCAAACTTTGCTTGCTATAAATTAATTCATCATATCTGAAGTTGAAAATGAATGGTGAAATGGTGGGATTTTAAAATTATATGTTAGATTGCTTGCTGGCATTTCAAGCCTGAAGGTACCCAGGCTTTTGAAAGCATCCAAAGTTTAGATTTAGCTGAACAGCTACAATAACTCAGCAAATACTGAGAAAGATAAAGTAACCATGAATGCTTGTGAACAAATGAGGACTCTACAACAAGGGGAAATAGGCAGGTCTTGCATAAGTTCACTGAAGATTTCCTGCTTCATGAGAACTGAGAATCTGATGCAGTGATTCTGTAGGAGCCATGGGGAGCTTGCTTGTGTTGAATGAGCAGCTTGTAGAGTGCTTCTGTGCCATGTGGCAATCCACTACACCTCTGGAGAGGGACAGACAGACTCAGTCAGCTACTGAGCTGCATCAAGAGAGTCCCTTATTAATCATTTGGGGTTCCTCTCCAAGTCTTAAGAAAAACATGTATCAAGTAAGGGACATGGTGGCAGCAATGCTTCAATGAGGCAAGCAAGGAGAATTTTTTTGTAAATATGAAAAAGGTGACTGCTCCCACCAGGTGGCTAATATGTTTTTTCTCAACAGCTACAGCTAGATCCAGTGAAAAACAGGCACTCATGTCTGAATTGAAGATAATGACACATCTTGGCCCCCACCTGAATATTGTGAACCTGCTTGGAGCTTGTACAAAATCAGGTGAGTTTGGCTGACAAAATAAAGGTTTGCTGTGGAATCATCATTCAATATTTAACAAGCACATTGCTGCCTAAAGATTTTTAGATTTTTATGTAATCTTCATGTATTTGTAGCTTTGTAGACTGTTAAATACCTAGGTATAACTTCTAGTACTTTTCCAGCTTTCTTCCTGCAATGAACAAATGTTTATTGATGCATTCCTTAAATTTTATCTAGTCTTGCCTGTTAATTTACTGAGGACCTTTTATTTTGCACCACGTAATCATAGACACAAGAAAGATAGGGTAGGAGATCGGGGAGAGAGCTCCAGTGGGGCAGAACACAGGGTGGAGGTTTCCTAACCAACTGCTCCTCAAATTGGACAATATTGGCTAGATATTCTAATTGCCCTATTTTAGAAAACTGTACAAATTTAATTCTAAGCAGGTTTTTTTTTGCCATACTGCATATCTGAAGGTTTTTATATTATCATTCTTAAGTTATTTGGAAAAGTTTGTGTTCTATTTTCAGGCATCAACACAGGTTTCAAGTAGAGGACTTACCAATAAATATAACCAAATATAGGTTTTCAGAAAGCCTCTTGATATTTGGTAATAATTGCAGTCATAACTTAGTAGATAGAAATGAATTAACTCACAACTATATTTTCCAATACTTTTGGAGGCTTTTTGTAGTTGTTTCTGTTTTTCAAAACCGCCACTCATCAATGCATAATTTTGCTTTATTTTAACAGGTCCTATTTACATCATTACTGAATACTGTTTTTATGGTGATCTGGTGAACTACCTGCATAAGAATAGGGACAATTTCCTGAACCGACACCCTGAAAAGCCTAAAAAAGACTTGGATATCTTTGGGATGAACCCTGCTGATGAAAGCACAAGAAGGTGGGAAAAAAATGAAAAAAAAAAAAAATCAGTGACCTGCAACTTAAGGACTTAAGCCGTTACAAACCCTTATTGCATTACTCTCATTCATTGGTTTAAACTCCTCCTCAATTTTTCTCATTAGACTTTTATTTGTCACATTTCATAGGTCTGGGAAGGTTTCAACAGTTTTTATTCAATGTCCCTGACATGTGTCCTAGATCTGTGTTTCCTGCATGTAGACATGCCTGCAGTCTGAGGACCCCTGTGGTTTCTCCATAGATACCCCAGTGCACCTACCTGTCTCCTTGTTTCCATGCTTGGGGAATTTCCAGTGTCTAAAACTCCTTCCCTTCAAGCAACCTGGCAGAGCCTCCAAAACTCATGTTCTCCAAACTCAAGTTCTCTCCTTTATCTACCAATTATAGCCAGTATCAAAAGTGTCCTAATTGCTAATGTTCATCCCAGAACTTTTTCCAGATGATAGTTGAGGAAGCTTGTCATCATATATTCAGCAATAATATAATACCATAAAATGAGCCAGGATTTAAAAGGTGGACAGAGATTCATTCAAAAAATTGCTCAGAGAAATAGATCAACTGCCTTGGTAGCTGAGTAAAGCCAGTGCCATTCATCTGGGCATGGGTTTGTTTGGCAGGACTGGATTTGATGCAAACTGTGTGAATAAATTACACCAATCATTTGGAATACCTTGAGCTAAAAGCCCTAGATAATGATACTTGAGTTCAGTGGGATTTTGGGAAATAAGGCATGGTTACATACCTGACTGCTGGCAAAAGCCTAAATTTGCAGTGCTTGTGTTTAACTACAGTAATTCACAGTAACATGTATTAATAAGTGATGGTTATGCAATAAATATGATATCTGGTAATGATCTTTATAGATGTATATTTCCTAACAAGAAGCCAGCTGTTGAATTTCACCTCAATACAATAGTACACCATAAGTGAATGATTAGATATGCACATGGTCTGGCAGGGAAGTCACTACCTGGTACACTTGTGTTTTTTCCCAATTTCAGTTATGTGATACTATCCTTTGAAAACACTGGAGAATACATGGACATGAAACAAGCTGATACCACTCAGTATGTGCCAATGCTGGAAAGGAAGGAGGGCTCTAAATACTCTGATATCCAGAGATCTGTGTATGATCGGCCTGCTTCGTACAAGAAGAAATCCATGTCAGGTAATGTAACTGTCCCTTCTGCATATATCATTGGTACAAACCACTCTTGTGTAAACAGGTATCTGATTTTTGTCCTCTAAATGCACACAAATTGTTTAGCTCTGTTCAGCAAGAGTGTGAGCATAAGCTTTAAGGCAAAATCTCGTGGTTGTGTTCTTCCATCCTGCTCTGGGGGTAGGAGAGCATGTTGCTGGGGCAGAAGGGGTCCCACTGTGTGTCTGTTTCTGTGCTGAAGCACTGGGCAGTTGTGCTCTGCAGTGGGGCTGCAGGCACTCTTTGGAGGCAGTGATTTTATCAGTCTTGTAGTTTGAAGGATTTTGAGCATTAGCAACGACCAATACTAATAGTAGTTTATATTGTACTGTTTCCACTTACATTTCACATTAACTGACACTTATCAAATGCAGAACACTCCCAAATATTTTCCTGGATTATGTAATGAAGATAATGAATGCATCCTATTCCCTGTCCCTGTTCTCAGAACCCAAATATGCTTTTGTTTAAAAACAGACACCGCCACCTCTGCCTCCAGGCCTCAGAAATGGAACCATATCCAGTCCCAGATTTACATGGCAGACTTATGCACTCATGCTCTAGGACAGTCAGGGAAAATGAATCACTGAATTTTGACTGGATTTTTTCCGGCATTTTTCATAAAATAAACAAGAATTGTTGCCATGAATTCCTGACCCTTTTTGCTGGTATTGGATTAGTCCCAGTGAATACTTCCTGGGAAACAACAGTGTTCAGCAAAAGTAAATGGATAAGAATGTACATGCATGCACAAAACCCTAATGAAGGCATCTCTAAATAAATATTTTTGTGCCACACAATGAGTAAACAACCTGTGTGACAGCCAGTAATGTCCAGCAACAATTCTTTCTCACTTTACTTTTTCCTGCTGTTCACAGGGGAAAAAAATTACAGACAGGAAAAATTCTAACCTGCTATTTAACACTGGCTGTTTTAAAAAATGCAGTATGTGTCAGTGACTGATGCAGACATTAGAAGTGGCAATAGTTACTATGAAAAGGCTGTTTTGGTCATGGTACTCTGCTAAAATTATCAGCTTGGAATCATGATAGGTAGGGGAAGATGGATTCTACTTTCACACTCCACAGCAAAATCACGTCTTTCTTCTTTTTTTGATAGAATCAGAAGTCAAAAACCTTCTTTCAGATGACAGTTCAGAGGGCCTCAGCCTATTGGATTTGCTGAGCTTCACCTACCAGGTTGCACGGGGAATGGAATTCTTGGCTTCTAAAAATGTAAGTAAATAAAAAAGTGAGCGAAATGGAATAAGGTGTAAAAATGTCTTCTGCAGCTATGGTTTTAAATTTAGATTTTGAGCATATGACACAATATAGTATTACTTTTTGAGATATAGACAGCTTTCTCACTTACCTGGAAACAGAGATCACCATGGTGGGAAAAAATCAAAGCAGCAGTCACTTGTCTTCCCCTGCTTCATCCTGTGACATTGCTGGAGTCAGGGTAGCAGAGATGGTGGAGGGTCAAAGCAGGGTCTGGGTGAAGGGTCCAGGCAGTCACAAACCAGCATGGTGAGAAGCACAGGCATATCACTAGTACATGAGGGATGGAATGGGAGAGGGTGATCTCACTTTTGCCTCCTCCCCCCTAAAATGCATCTTTGTGAGATCTTGCTGGTCCTGAGGCCTGGTGCCTCCCTGCTCCTGTCAGCAGGTGCTTGTTCAGTAGAAGGTCATGTTAGCACTGCACCTAGAAAGCCAACCCTTTTCTAAGGCAGTGGCCCTCATGGAAAAAGCATGTCCTTGAACAATTCCATTTTTCTCCACGCAGTGTGTGCACCGTGACTTGGCCGCTCGTAATGTCCTCCTGGCTCAAGGAAAAATTGTGAAGATCTGTGACTTTGGGCTGGCTAGAGACATCATGCATGATTCCAACTATGTCTCCAAGGGCAGTGTATGTACTTAATCTCTGGAGCTCTGCTTTAACTGAAATGAAAATTGTCAGTTTTAAATGTTATTTCATGTTCTTGCCATTCAGTGTTGGTTACAGTAATTGACCACTGGGATGAATGTGCCTCAGAATAATTTATCTTCAGATCATTAATTCCTGTAACTTTTGTAACTCTGTGTTAAAGTGAAAAAGTACACATTCAGTACTCCACTTCAGTCTGACATTTTTAACAGGCAGGTTTTGTGACTGGATAAATTACTAAGGAACTGTCAAACAATGACATATCAGACCTAGTTCAGCAGTGCCAGATTTTGCATCATACCTTCAATCATTTACTACCTGTTCATTTGCCAGTAATGAAATGAATACAGCTATGGTTTAACTAGTTTTTGTGGGGAGCAACAAGTAGCATTGCTTATAATCCTGGTACCTCTGTATTAAATTGAATTGAATTAAAAATAAACACTAGCAAGGTTAACATAACTTTTCTTATAGAGAGATAATATTCCTGGCTATCAAACAACAATTGCAATAGTAATAATTTATTTAATGGCTAATCTGTGTGTTTGGGCTTTCTTTCTTTTTATTACAGACTTTCCTCCCAGTAAAATGGATGGCACCTGAAAGTATTTTTGACAACCTGTACACAACATTAAGTGATGTCTGGTCTTATGGCATTCTGCTGTGGGAAATATTTTCTCTTGGTATGTACTGTGAATATTTTCCTATGCGTAGTGATTAGTTTTTTTCAATTCAAACTGTTATACACAAAGTATTTCAAATTCTGCATATAAAAATATACACATGAAATCCACTGTTAGTTATTCTTCTGTATGGCATTTCAGATTCCAGTGTTAGGTGTGAAGTGAAATGTCCATACTCTCCCAAGGTTCTCTTTAGTTTTGGTATGGATTTTTTTTGTTCCTTTGTTTGAGGGTTTTGCTTTTTTGGTTTTGTTTGTTTGTTTTAGCCATATGCTCTTTTCTTTTTTTTGTTGTAAAACTAAAAGAACTGTGTGAAAATATTTTGTGGAAAAGTATTGGTGTGCCACAACAGGATTGATTTTCTGTCTTATATGAGAAGGAGCATGTTTCTCCCTTGCAACGGGGTGCCTGGGGCTGCAGCCCAGCTCAGCAGCTGCTTTGGAACAGTCTCTATACACATTTCAAAAGAGCCTGTCTTAGTCCCATTACAGAATGAAAATAAATGTCAATCTTCTGGGACACTGATTTCTCATTTCCAGGTCAACACTGCTCACACAGTTGGTTTATGGCAGCGTAAAGTGGTTATGACAATATATAGCAGTTCCAGACAACGCACAGCTCCCAGCTGGGAGCAGCCTGGCTCTCTCCTCAGCCTCATTAGTTAATTAATTAGCCTCCTGGACGGGTAGATGGCCTGCTGCAGCGAGCCTGCATTGCCCAGATTTACTGCCAGCAGAATTACTCATGCCTCTGTGGTGTCTACTGCTGCCCCACGGCAGCCCCAAGCCTAATGTTATTTGCTAGAACAAGTTGTCACATAACTGCTTCTCAGAAAACAACAGTTGCACCACTATGGTATTGATTCCTGTAATCTCTGGGCATCACAGGCTCCTGTAAATAGCCATTCCCTGATATCCCTGGGAGGCATTGGACAGCTCAGGAACTGAAGCACTAAACTTCACTGCTCTAGCTGTAAAGAAGGTTCTGAAGCTCATTTTTAGGTGAAAATCCTGCTTTTGAAAGGGCAGAGATTTCTGAAGTAATATTATAGTACGCCTCCTCCATCTGAGAAAATTGTTTCTTTTTGGAAAGCAAAATATATCCTCAGTAGTGTTTGTTTAAAAGATCAATTATAACATCTTGATACCATGTTGACTTCAGCTTGAATTACTCTTTAACACATCAGCAACAACTGAGCATGATGACTCTGTGCTGCAGCCCCAAATTATCAGTTAGCTGTGTTAGCTTGGACCAAGCCCAAACTTTTTGACAACCCATGCCAAAGCAGGCTGGTGACCTGATCCAGGTATTATCCAATCTCTGTCCCAAATACATTCTATAAACACTGAAAAGGTATTTTTTCTAACTAGCATCTACTTCAAACTTTCCTAGCCAATGTTTCACATTGGGGCTTAGCGTAGCTATTGTTACCAAGACAATAGCTCTGATGTGAAACGCTGGCCAGGAAAGAATAATTCTGATGCCATGTTAAATTGTAGTGCTAACATCAACAAGAAGATAGTATTTGGGAACTCTGCATGGATATTTAAGTATAGAGTAGTACTTTTGCTTCTCTTTTTTCTGTAGGTGGCACACCTTATCCTGGCATGATGGTCGATTCTACTTTCTACAATAAGATCAAGAGTGGATACCGAATGGCCAAACCTGATCATGCCACCAATGAAGTGTATGTGCGCATTTGGCTTTTCCACACCTGCCCAGTCTCCAGAGAATCTTGGCTTCAGTTTCTGTTTGATCAGTTATGTTCCTCTACCAGCTGGTTAAACTGGTTTCCTTCTTATCTGCAGGTATGAGATTATGGTGAAGTGCTGGAACAGTGAACCGGAGAAAAGACCTTCTTTCTACCATTTGAGTGAAATTGTGGAGAGCTTGCTGCCTGGAGAGTACAAAAAGGTTTGTTCTTTGTAATTTTCTCTGTGTTTTCTGTATATTGCTTCAGAGGGAATTACAAGCATTGTTCCAGCCATGAGAGCCATGAGCACTGAACTGTGAATTATGTGATTAGCACGGGGACATTGCATGTTTGGTTTCCTCAGTCAAACTAGCTGAGAGAAGCAGTTCTGCAGTATTAACTGGGAAGCAGAACCCTTTATGTCTAATTAAATCCTAACAACTCAATTTTTCTACTGGAGAACTAGTTCTGTATATTTTCATGGGATTTTGTAGGCTGTGAAATAATTATATAAAAGGGACTTCTTGGCCCATGAGTATAATTTCCCTGTCTCTTCTTCAGATCCTGACACCAGCAAGTTTTCCCCTCACATTTCTGATAGCTCTGAACAAGTTGTGCCTTCCCCATCATTCAGTGTTTCATTTTTCTGACCTACCTTAACTCCCTTTTCCTTACCCTTCTTTCACATCTACGTGTCTGCTTTGTGCTGCCACAAAGCTTTGCTCCTGCATCATCTAGATGTCACACTTACATGACACTTCTCCTTTCAAAGCAATTGAACATTCTGGACTTCTCTATCCAGTACGGCTGGCTCATAGGGCAGGATATTTGCTAGGCTAATGAATCACAGCTGCCCATCTGAAGAAAGGCAGCCTTAGTGAATAGCATCTAATGAAGGGTTGAAATGAATTTTTTCAGAGCTATGAGAAGATTCATCTGGACTTCCTGAAAAGTGATCACCCAGCTGTCACACGCATGAGAGGGGACTGTGACAATGCTTACATTGGTGTAACTTACAAGAATGAAGACAAGCTAAAGGACAGGGAGAGTGGATTTGATGAGCAGAGGCTGAGTGCTGACAGTGGATACATCATTCCCCTGCCTGACATTGACCCTGTTTCTGAAGATGAGCTTGGCAAAAGGAACAGACACAGGTAGGTGCAGTTTACAGATCCCTTAGCCCATAGTCACCACTTGGGGTCATGTTTGGCAACGTCCATTTACACTTCCCAGCATCGTACTCTGCAAATGGTTTCCTTAGCTCTGTTCAAACTACTTACTGGGGGAGTCACATATAAATATGGTAGTATGACTGCCCACAGTGTTTTCAATGGGAAAAGTTAATTTTTCCTGTTTTGTGGTTGCCGGGTAAGGCGACTGCTGGTGGGGGGCTTCTGTGTGTTTTTGGGACTCCTTTAATAGCTTGGTCAAGTCACAGTGGTTGTCTTGTGGATCTGTGGGCAGAATTTCCCAGAATTTCCATCACATCTTGCCTCCTTGCAGCTTCATATGAGACCTCAAAGAATTGATTTGTTTGTGTGAGACAAATTCTAAATCTAGGAGAAGTTTTTGATAATATCTTCTATGTTCTATGTCTATATATCTCCTAGTTTTCTATGAAAGCTGGGTGCCCAGAACTTTTTACTTCTTTCTTGTCAATTTACATGACCAATGCCACTACAACACAGCATTGCCTGACCCTAATTGTGAATGGTGCAGGTTTAATTCAGCTCTTAATTAATAGTGTATAGATTCAGCAACCTAGAAATGCCTTTTTTGTTTTTTGTTTTTTTTTAATATTTTTGTGCTTTATTCAAGTGAGGGAAGAAAGAAGTCCCTAAAAGTACTATCAAAATTAAGACATATTATCTCTGTCTGTTATTCTTATCTTGCTGTTATTGCTATCTTGTTTTCACCTGACCTCCCTAGATTTATCTAAGTGACCTATTGTCACAGTAGTGTTATAAAACTACTTCTCCAAAAAGTATCTGACTGAGAGTGCTTGGAGGAACATAAGAACAGCATGCTCCTTTGAATTCCAAGGTGGTTCACTACTTTTGATATACAAGATATGTCATGTCCTAAGAAACTGGTGGTCATAGTCACCTAAGATTGCACTGTGGGTCAGAAAGCATCTGGGGAGATAGCGTTCAGTTCTGCCAGAGACTGGAGTGTTTACCCAGCCAGAATCACCACGTACCTTATCTCTGAGATATCTGTCTCTTCCAGTTCACAGACATCTGAAGAAAGTGCCATTGAAACCGGTTCCAGTAGCTCTACCTTCATCAAGAGAGAGGACGAGACCATCGAGGACATTGACATGATGGACGACATTGGCATCGACTCCTCAGACCTGGTGGAGGACAGCTTCCTGTAAGGCACGGCCACCCGCCAGCTCTGCACACAGGGAACCTTCCCCAGCTCTCCACAGACTTCTGCTCCACACAGAAAACCACTTTATTGCAACGTCAAGGATGTGAAGAGGAGGTGGATTTGTAGAAAGGAACGCCCAGGAATGGGCAGAGAACTCAGCCTGAGTATAAATGAAAGAGACATGTTGAAGATGGATATTTTAGTGTTGCTTCTTGCAGTACTTCAGTAGCATCTCAGTGTTGTTTGCCATTCCATCTGGTAGGAGGATGAAGGGAAAGGCCACAAACAGACTGGTTTTGTGTTTCAAGGGCATTCATATGACTTTGATGGATCAATTTTCCACTGCAGCAATACTTCACCATTGTAATTATGTAAATAACTGACTACTCAAGGATCTTTTGAGGTGCACATTGAACAAATGCCATGGATTTTAGAAGAGGTCATTCATGAATTCTGTGTACTTCCTCCCTCAATCTCAATGTCAGCTGCTGATGAACTATCATGTGAATTGAAGAACATGCAAAAACCACTTTTGGACCAAAAAGGTCTAAAACCACAAGGGACTGACCGGTACTATAAAACATGTTACTTTCCACCATTAATGCAAGTAAAGGGGAATAATAATGATAATAATAATAATAATGACAATTAAAATTCAGTCTATAATAGGTGTTAGAAACCTAGTAAGTCTTTATTAACTATAGAAGGTAGCTGTTTTCAAAATAATACTACTACTGTTTTCAGTAACACTAAATGTATATTTTACAATCCATTGTCCTTCAGTAAAAGCACAATATCAAAACACTTTTTTAAGTGCAGGGGAGAAATTTCCAGCCCAAAAAATTTTATGAAATTTTCTTTTTGATCTACACCGAATGGTAATTGTTCTGGTTAGCTAAAACTACTTTAACATGGAGAAAAAATTTAAGATTTTTTTCTTTCATGAGCTGAGTAGCTTTTCTAATCAGATGTACTAGAAGCAATTAGTTTTCTTCTGATTAAGTGGGGTCCTAAAAATTTCAATTAAAAAAAATTATGCCAGATTTCTAAGATGCTGGAGAATGGAAGATTATGATAAACCACTAGCAATACCCCATTATTAGTGTTTCATGGTACTCAAAAGAAATCTTATCCTGAGGTTAGCTGTGAAGAATTGATTTGATATTTAAACTGTTCAAGAAACAAAGACATTTCTCCTAGCCTGAAATGCAACTTCAAATAAGCAAAAATAAATATGCAGAAAATATTCTTGTCTTAGTTTTCAAGTTTAAACAGGAGCAGAAATCTCTACTATCTTTGCAGACTGTAACTACAAAAGGTAAATGCTTCTAGGAGTGTTTTTTGGAAAAAAGTGCATGAAAATCAATCTGCTCTCAGCCTGCAATTGTTGATTTTTGACACCAATCATGAACAAAGTATTATGGTTACTGCTATCACTGTACAATGTGTTATTGAGATATGACACTTTGGAAGACTTACATGTGAAAAAAAATATATCACTGCCAAGGGCTCCATCCTTTCTGGTACTCAGCTTTCAAACTTTGCCTTAATTCAGTGCAATGAGCACCTTGTAGGATATGCCCAGCCTCTGCTACGATAAAACCAATGCAAATGTGGTGCAAACTCATTCCTGTGTTGAAGTATTTTCCTAGGAAGTGTGAAAGAGTGACTGACAGAACATGCTCCCATGTTAAACCACAGTTTACCTTCAAACAGCCCTACAAAAAGCTTCGTAAGTCCCCTTGACTTGACTTGTGGACAGCTACAGATCAAACAAAAGCAAATGCAATTTTGGCAGTGTTACAGTGTGGGACGCTGCACAGGCAAATCATTCTGGGTCTGAGTTTCAAGCTGTCACCTGGCTGAGGCCATGCACAAGATCACAGCAAATGTGGAAACAGGACCTGAAGCGAGCCCCCACATTTTCCACCCCGCTGGAAGCTGACAATCAGGAGGAATGGTGATTGATGGTGCATCCTCTACTTCTTGCATTCGACAGATCAAGAACAAGTGTCTTCCTGGGACCATGCTTTTGCCAAACACGTCACTGAGCTCTGTACGGGGACAACTGTGAAACATAGACTCTTGGTACAGCCAGGACAGATGAGATGGTGTGAAATCTCCCTCCAGTTACGAACCATGAATTGAGGAAACACAAATGTCTATGGATATCCCAGATACCTGAATGGCCACTCGAGATGACATGTGCCTTAATTTGCATGTGTGGTCTTTACAACTACACATTCAAATTAGGCAAGATTCACCTGCATTTTTGCACACGGCCTGGTGTTCTTCAGGGTTTGAAAATCAGCCCCAGCATGTTTTATTATATCAGTTACTGGAATCTAAGGACATTTTCATGCAGCTTTGCCTTCCCCTCACCAGGCTCATTCTGCATCTCACAGTGCATCTCAGGCTAGACTCAGCCAATGAACCAGAGCTGGCTCACTTTCTGGTACATGATAATGTTAATTCCCCATCTTGTCATGAGTATTGTACAGATCAATTGCATCCCTGGCAGGGGTCTAGCCAAACCCAGCTCACTGCAGGCTTGGAATCAGACAAGCTGGCCTGGAAACTGGAATGAGAAGAAGAGGAAGAGAGAGGATTTATTAGAGAGGGAGAAGTGTGAAAGGATGAGAATGAATTGTTTAGTTTCACAATATTATCAGTATTACAGACTTTTTTTTTTTTTTTATGGCTTACTTTTTGAGAAGCCACTGGAAGAGATTTTCCCAAACCTTTTGCTACAGTAATTGTATAACGACAATCAGTGTTATCCTACAAAATGCAGCTTTTGATTTGGAATGGCCAACCAATTCCTTACAGCGTGGTCTGCGACTTGTACAAAATGGTCCTATTACATGATGAAGGACGTGAGATATGATGATGTTATACATCAATATGTATATAAGTATTTTTATATAGACTTCTAGAATACTGCCAAAACATTTATGACAGCTATATCACTGCCTTTGTTTATATTTTTTTTACTGTGATATATTCCACAGGCACGTTAACTGTTGCACTTTGAATGTCCAAAAGTTATATTTTAGAATAATAAAAAAGGAAGTGTTTCCAAAATGATGGCTGTTGTGAAATGTTTGAAGAAGGGCAAACTGGCCTGAATGATGGTAGGCACAAAATGTATTTCAAAAATGCCCCTGTTGATATTTTGTCTTTGAAAAAATCTTGTAAATGAAGATCTTTATATTTCAATAAATGATATATAATTTAAGGATATGTGAGGGGTCTATACTCACTTATTGAAAGATGGTTATAAAGAATCAGTCTTGCTCAGGGATTTTTTCCCTCAAGAGGTCTTTGAGCTGTCTGTGAAGCCATCAATCAGTAATGACAACCCTGTCTCCGAGCCCTTCCATGGGCACAGTGAGGGAGTGCTGGCAGCAAGTGACCAGGATACCAAGTGACATCTGTGGGCAGTCATGTTATCTCCCAAAACACAGCAGGTGTGGTGCCCCAGCACTAGGTGGGTGAGTGGGTGGGCACTGGGCTCCCTGCCCAAGATGAGACCCTTGGCCTTGGCACCATGTGTGCTGGGGTTGATGCCTGCTCTCTGCACACACTCAGGAAAGGCCCCTGGCTTCAGGGTTTTTCAACTTGTGCTGAACTCACCACCATTGTGAATCACACTAAAGCTTTAGTATGGTTCTGTGCTCCCACAGAATCAATTTTACACAGCACATGTAACTGAATGTGAATTTGAGAAGATTTGCAAGATTTCAACCTGAAATCAGAGTTAAACTTGGCAGCTGCACCTCCTGCACAAAAGGCTGTCTTGGTTTTCCAGTGGGAGCCAGGCAAGGCTGGCTGTGGGAATGCCCTGTGAATGGGTAGGTTAGCAACCTTCTGTCCTTGGGGTGGTCACTGTTCCTGCTGGGAACTTGCTGGGAGATGAACTCTCCATCTAACAAATCCCCCTCCTCACTCAAATGGGGTGCAGCATCCTGGGCCCTGGCCTTGGATACGAGTGACAGTAGGTTGTGTCTCCTTTGTGTGTCCTTGCTGAAAGGAGCCTTTATCCTGTATCCTGCACAGACACACAGCACTTCCTGCCACCACAGGGGCACAGGAAAGAGCCCTGGAAGTGCTTGTGCCCTCACATCCTGCTGGGCTGTGCACCTGCTCTTCTGGCAGCTCAGCAGCTGTGTGAGACACAAGGACCGATGGAATTGCCATTTCTGCTGTGTGGGGTACCAAAATCCCTCTCTATGCAAGAGCCTGACTACAGAGCCTCCTCCCAAGCACGAGGCATGGCTGTGTGTGCCTGGGGAGCATGGAGAGTGAGTTTCTCACCTTGCTGAAGCAGACCCATTTTGGGCAAAATTCTAGCTCCTTGCTCCACCAGGCTGGGGGTCCAACATGAGTTCCACACATCATCTTGCTCCCTGTCCCAGGGCCTCAGCAAGTATTTGGCTGGAAATGTGCTGAGGTCATGCAATGACACAAGGCAGAGGCAGCCTGCCCAGGAAACAGGAGCTGTGAGAGAGCAGCACAGTGCCAGGAGCTGAGAAGGGCAGGCTTCTGGCCAGGAGGATGGAAAGAGAATTACTTCAGGTTATGCAGGTAAAAAGATTTTTGGCTAAGTTGCATTGCTATGAGTGGAAAAAGCAGCAGGTTCACAAGCCAGGAAGAAGTTATCCAGCCCCCTTGAGATGCTCCCCATGGCTCTGGAAACCTGAGGCATGGTGCCTCTGCAACTGTCTCAGCAAGATTGCTGTGTCCCATCAAGTTATCCCCATTGTTAGAGGCTGTGTGGTATGGGAGCTGTGGGCTGGCATAACCCCCAGGAAGAATGAAACGGCAACAAAGAAAAGACTTTGTAGGCTCAAAAACAAAGAAGAGAGAATCCATGTCATGGGTCTGGGCTAGCTCTTGAAGCCAGCAGCTGAAGCAGAGTCCATATCCTGCTGGAGTCCCATCACTGCTGCCTTCAGCAGGGTGAGGACGGGCTCAGCACTCATGGGCTTGTCCTCCTGACCCCATCTCTGTCCTGCACCCTTGGCACAGCAGCTCATGTGAGACCAAAACAGAGTGTGTGGCAGAGGAGGCACCATCCCCTTCCTCTGCTGGCATTGGTATTCAATGCTTTTCAAAGGGAAAACCTAGCTTCCAACCCCAATTCATTCCCATCCAAAAAACTGGAGGTAAGGATTAGAACCACCTCTAAAAATTCCAGTGTTTCCATTCATTTGTTAATAATAACTTAACTGAAATAAACCCCCAATGTTTTCTTTTCCAAGTTGGCCACAAGATGGAAGCAACAGACAAAAATATGTGAAATTGTTCTTTTCCTCATCCTTTCTCTGTTTTTGCTTGCACAGCAACACAGATGTATTGCCACTGCAGAGGCTGAACAGCTGGAGCTCTTAAAGCAATAGGAGGAACACACAGTGTCCATCAGCTCCACCTTTTTGCTTGGAAGAACTTTGAACCTCTTGTGATAGCTGTGGTTTTTTGCAGGATGAGACTGGCAACTGCCTTGCTGTCCCTGATGGTGCTGAAGGGCACTCTGCCTTTGCCTCAAAAAATGTACCTCTTGTGGAGAGAGAGGGAGGGATTTAAAATAAAATATTATTTAAAATGAGGCAAGAAGTGATACCTTAGATATCCTAATATCACCTGAGATGATGTCTTTTTCTCTGCGTTCATTCTTTTGTTGCTTTAGTGCTGTGCTGGTGCTCGATGGGGAGCTAAAAGCACTGCTGAGCTGAGGGCCAGGTTCATGTGCCTTTGTGAGACTCAAAAAAATAGTTGGGACCAGCCTAAGGTACGTACCAAGACCCCCAAAATGTAACCCCTAGAGAGCATGGGGGGTTGGAGGTTAGCTCCAGTTTGCAAGCTATTCCCTGCAGCAATCTGATGTATCCGCTGTGCTGTACCACCCTGCCATCAGCTCTGCTGGCCTCTGCCACAGGAGCATTGTCTGCTTCAGCATTTCTCCATAAAATTGATCCAGGATTTGTAAGAAGGGGGATGTAATTTATTAGACCACCTGATAAATCTGAAAAAAAATGAGAAGAAGCTCACATCAGGTACTCGAGCCCTTGAGGTGGGGCTTGGGTAGCCAAACCTGGGTTGGGTTTTCCAGCTTTACTAATTGGCCTCATAAAAGTCTTC